TTCCAGTCTCCCTGGCCTTCTCTATGGACTCTTGATTGTTAGGAAAAATCACTTATGTAACAGCTTCTTAAGGCTATGCCTCCCATGAGACTCCCTCCCTACTGAAATGTATCTAACCCTGCCCTCCTCTAACTCTCTTGTGTACTCTAGTACCTTGGTGCTGTATGGTGAGCCTGAATTGCCATTCCCTTGCCTTCATTAAAGATTCTAGTTTTTGCTACTTTGGTAGTGTTCTTTATCTCAGGCTGACACCATCCTATAATGATAGGTTTTTTAGCTCCTTCATGATCACCTAGATTAGATGCTCTTTAAAAAAAATTATAATAATCCTTTGATATAATTTCTTTTTTATCACTATAATTTCCCCTAGTATTCTTCTTTCTCTCTTTCCTGGAGAACCATGCCATTTACAAATAAAATATTTTTAAAGATTAAAAAAAAAAGAAAGAAAAAATCAGTATGAACAAAATATCCTAAAAATATGTGCAATGTACCACACTTCTGAACCTCCCCCTCCTCAAAGGGGTGTAGTAGGACAGCTGTTTTCCTTTTAATGCCCTCTAGCTTGTGAAGGTTCTTCCTAAAATGTGCTGCCAAGAACTGAATACAATACTTCAGATACAGTCTGATTAGGACAAAATACAGCAGTGTTACCTCTCATATTTTGGATACGATGGTTATTTTAATATAGTCTCTGATTATATTGGCTTTTTTGCTGCCATCTTATTCTCTAGACACATTTTGAATCTGCAGGGCCCTAAAGCACACAGAACTTTTTCCACATATGTACTCAAGCTTCCCTCATCTGATGCTTATATAGCTGATTTTTTGTAGACCATGTAGTATCATCTTATCAAGCCTGTCTAGATCCTGACTCTAATGTGGACATTCTTTGTGTCCTCTAAGTCTGATGGGTATGTCATCTATGGCCACATCTAAATCATTGATAAAAATGGTTAAACACCTACGGTATGAACAAAAATCTTCCCAAAACAATTTTTACATAGGGAGACCCTGGGCGGACCCCCAGTCAGCCCACCCTGGCAGTGGGAAAGAAACTTTCATAAGGAGAAATAGGAGTTTGGTAGCAGGTGTCACTGATATCTACAAACCTGAAGTCCATCAATACTCCTTTAATCCTTCATTTAAGCATCAGATATTTCACAGTTAACATGTGCACAGCACAAGAGCAGTTGGATACAAAGAAGCATATCACATAGTCCCTGCCCTCAACAAATTTATAATACAGTTATAGGGAAGTGACATAATAAACGAAAAATTAAATAATGAAGATGCAGTGAAGTAGTGTGTAAGTCACATAAATGGTAGAGATAATGAGTTCAGAGGGAGAACAGTGCATAGTGGACTGGGATAGTCAGGAAAGAGTGGAAGGTTAGAAGGATGAGGAAAGGTCATCTAGACTTCCTTGTATGGCAATCTGTATCAGGGGAGATTGTACCTTCACCAGTTTCAAATGTTATAATTATTATGATCTTTTTGCAAATGCTTGTATGACAAACACTGGAATACTGGATAATCAAGTGTCCTGTGAAATGTTTCATGTTACCTTTGGATGCTCAACAAAAGCAGCTGAACCAATTTTTCTGCTTCTCCAGGAAAAACCTGTGAACCATCCTTTCATAAGCTGCTACTTTTTTCTGTCTTCTGGTTTTGTTTATTGAAGGGGTGTGTGTGTGTGTGTGTGTGTGTGTGTGTGTGTGTGTGTGTGAAGGGCAATACAGTTAAGTTCCTCCAATAACATATGTTGGTCTTTAAAGAGCATTTCCCATTTAGAGTACCAACAGCTAAGCTAAAGTTTATAAAAAGTGTAAAAACTAGGTGACTTTTAGCATACTCTGCCCCCTTTGCACCACTTTATCACCATTGCTGCTAAAGTGGGAGGGCTTAGGGGACAACCTGCATTTTTCTGTTTCTTGGGTTGCCATAACCATCACCAAGTGGTCGGTTAATCAGTACCTCAATAAAAGTTTATGATGAACTTACTATGTGCCAATCACCATGCCAACTGCTAAGGATACAAACAAAAGCAAAAAGATAGATTCTATGCTTAAGAAACCTATGTTTCAATAGAGACCAGCCTTCTGATAATGAAAGTCTTGCTTAGTTAAACTGGCCCTGGAAAGCTGACTCAATCTGTTACTGGTGCTGTACTAGAACTCTTTTCAGAATGGTGGAACCTGACATAGGTTTCATTCTGTTTTCGTTGCCATGAGAAATCCAGGGTCACTTTCATGTCACAATGAGCCACCAAAGGAGGAATCTGTGAAGGATAAACACCAATCCAATCTAAAATCCGTGCTCCCAGGAATCTCATCATTGGTAACAACACATCAGTTCTGCTTCTCACACCTCCTCAGTATTCTTTGTCCCTAGGACTCCACTGATTTGAGGCCAGAGGGCAGAGCTACTCCCCAAACCTCTATTTAAGGAGAATGCCTAGGCCAGCCATCTCTTCATTTCCTACTCGGATGCTCTCCTTTGGACTTCTCCATTATTTCCCCTCATCCTTTTCCCTTCCCAGCCTACTTCTGTTTTTCTGTGTTATCTTCCTCCATTGGATTACATACTCCTTCAAGACAGAGATTTTTGTTTTCATATTTGAATCTCCAATGCTTACAGTGCCTGGGACACAGCTGGTGCGTAATAAATGCTTAATGACTGATAGAGAAAACAAGAACTTTTAAGCAAATTTTTTTAAAAAATTGTAATCATAAATGTAATTTTAAATTTTTTTCTGATTCTAAAACAATTTAAAAATTATATTTACAAAATGTGGCATACATATGTGCTAAATAAAATCTTTCAAAGATTACCATTAACCCACATAACATAATATTTGTGTAGGATTAGGTCTCTCCTTAAAGAAAACTCCCAATCAATGTATTGCTTGGATTATGTATCTTAAAGAAAAATATTTCCTTAAGTCTATTAAACATTTTGTTCATAAATCTTTTGGGTCCTCTGTAGGGTGTGAAATACATGACTGCATAAAATAAATTAGATTCCAGGTCGATACATTGCAGCTATGCACCCCTGCAGAGCAAGATAAGAATCTAATTCTCCCTTTTTTTCTATGCATAGAAAATGATCTGAGAGAAACATTAAAAGGGCTAACTTAATATCTGTATAACTGAAATAACCTTACTTACACACTACTGCCTTTTTACTGCAGTCTTCTGATGATTAATTAGCTAATATTTATGAAGTTTACTTAAGGAGAGGCACCATGACTTCTAAGTATTGTTATTGTTATTTTACATAGACAAAAAGGAATTTCCTAATTCTTAATGAAATTTTAATCTCCTGTGATATTCTGGAAACTTAATCACCTCTGCCCAGAGTGCTCCAAACATTACTAAATATTATTCCAGCTTTCACAGCTGGGGCTCAGTACTAGAAGTACTTATTTATTCTTTTAATATCTCCACTACTAATTCATGCTGTTGGGAGCCAATCTCAGACACTTTCAGGAAAGGGGTGGCACACATATATGATAGATGTCACTATGCTTTTGTCTCCTTGTCAGGGCAGTGAGTCAAACTGTGATTATGGTAAGAGATGAAAAAGAAAAAGACATTTTACATGCCATTAGGATGCAGGCAGGGAAATGAGAGTTGGGGACCTAGGAAAGAAGAGACAAGGGCAGTGGAGATAGTGTGGGGACAAAGATGACCGAGGCGGCAGACAGAGCTAAAGATCTTTGACATTCCTGCTTCTTTCTCAATAACACTTGGACAAGTCTGAGAGTGTAATAATCTCCCTTCTTCCACCCCTACCCCCATTTCATCCCCAGGAGAAAGCTGGCATGGTCCCGGCTAACAAACATTAAAGAGCTCACTATTTAGTGCTAGGCATTGTTAAGTGCTGGGGATACAGAGGAAGGCAAAAACAAAGTCTCCACCTCCGAGTAGCTCAGGATGCAAAAAGCCGCACATACAAGATACAATGTCAAATGTGAGATCATCTCAGAGTAGGGGCACTGGGAGGGGGCGGCGGTAGAAAGTGGGATTTAAGCGAGTCAGGAGGGAAGCCAGAAGGTGGACTTAGGTGGGAGAAAAGCATTTTGGGGGGTGGGGGCAGAGTAGCATTTGCAATTAGAGAGCTCGCTATCAGCATAATAGAAATAACCTTCCTTCACATTACTGCCATTTTACTGGAGTCTTTGATGATTAATTAGCTAATATTTAGGAACTTTATTTAAGATAAGGCATCCAGAGCAGAGATGGCGTGTCCAGTTCGAGGGACTGCAAGTCCAGTGTTGCTGGATTATACAGTGCAGTACTTGGAAAGGACTAAAGTGTAGTAATACTGGAAAGGGGCCAGCCTCTGAAGGGCTTTAAAAACCAGAATTTATATCCGAAACTGAGGGTAATAGGCAGTCACTCTAATTAGAGGCAGTTAAAGGTGCCAGTGGATGAACCTGCAGACTGTCATTTCAAATCCTGCGGCAGATCCTACAACCCTGATCTAGTCACTTAACCTGTCTGCCTCAGTTTCCTCAAGTGTAAAATGGGGGCAATAGCACGTTTTCCAGGGTTTTAATGAAGACCAAATGAGATACTCTTTGTAAGGCGCTCAGCAGAGTGCTGGCACATAGTAGGTGCTTAACTCCTCCAGAGGAGTGGGGGTGGGGGGGAAGTGTGACTTAAGATGGATTGCTATTGCAATAGTCCAGGCCAAGGGTGACAACCGGCCCCTGCCGTGTGAGCGGAGACACACAGTATGTCAATCATCTCAAAAATTACTGCACACGACGTGAGATGGAAGCGCCCAGGCCTCGGAGTCAACGGCTAATTAACGCCTGCTGGGGGCAGGCCACCTCCCCCTCGGGTCCTCTCGGGAAGACACCGGGATAACCCCTCGCCCAGCCCGGCAGGAGGTTCGGGCCTGCGGAGATGCGCGGGGGCGGGGCTGGGAAAGCGGACGTCGTCGGCCGGAACCCCCGCCTCAGGAGAACGCGGCATCGCCGGAGCGGTCGGCGACGGACCCGGCCCACGGAAGCGTTCTCTAGAGAAGGCAGGCCTGCATCCCCCGGCTTCCGCCACTGCCGCTGCCGGGGTTCGGCCCGTGGAAAGCGGGGCTGGAAAGATGCTTCTGGAGCTGTCCGAGGAGCACCGCGAGCACCTGAGCTTCCTGCCCAAGGTGGACTACGCCGGTGAGTGCGCGCGCCCGCGTGCGTGCGTGGGCAGGGGGGCGCCCCCTCCTACCAGCTCACGCGCCCTGCCGCGCCCCCTACCGACCCTAACTGAGCCAGCTCCTTCCCAGCTTGGCGCGCTCCCTACTGATGCCCCACCTTCCTCCGCCCAGTGCGCCTGCTCCTTCTCAAGCTTTGTGCGCGCCCCGCAGTGCTCATTCAAGCCCCCTCACCCTTCGCCCAGCTCGCCCCGCTCACGCGCCCACTTCCCTCCAATTCTCGCGACCGCACCTAACCTCTCGCGCCCCTCCCCCTTCGTTTCTTTTCCTCTGCCCCCGCCCTCCCTCCACTATCCAGTGATCTTTCGCTCTCGCTCTCCCTGCGCTTGCGTGCTTCACACCTCAGGCGCCCCCTATTGTCGGCTCCCCCTCCCAACCTCCCCCATCCCGTGCTCTCGATGCGCCACGTCCTCTCCGCTCCCCTCCCCCCTTGTTTGCACGCCACGCCCTCTCCGCGCCCCCTTCCTCGGGCTTGCGCACTCCCAGCCTCGCGCTCCAGGCATGCTCCTCGCCCCCTTCCTCGCGCTTACGCATTCCCTCCCAGCGTCGCCGCGGCACGCCCCTTCCCCCCTTTCCCCCACCCTCATCCTCGTTCTCACGCCGACCCCCCCACTTCTCTGGTCTCTCGCAGTGGTCGCCGAATTCGGCCGGATCTCCCTGGAGTTTCTGAGGAAAGGGTCCAACCCGAAAGTCTACGAAGGAGCCGCCAGTAAGGAGCGCGCAGCGCCCGGGGCCCTCCCGAAGG